TTTGATTATTGTGTTCAGGGAAATGTCACAGATTTTTTATATTGTCATAGATCGTTTAAATTATAAAAAGCTATTAAAACAGTTTGAAGCTCAGGTTATATTTTCAATGAATATGATGGACATAGTGTGTATTAATTAATTGCGAATCACTGACGAATTCAACGCCAATAATGTGATTAATGCTGTGTAAATAAAATGTAACTCTCGTTTGTTATTATTTGACCAGCTGTAATAGTTTTCTTAAGGTTTATGGGGCACACGAGCAGACGGGATATCTGATGGTAAGTGACTACCGCCGCCCATTCCAAGCCAATTGCCGCCAAGAGTCACAATTGCGATTGTGACTGTGTGTATTACGTCCTGACCTCCAAAGTCCTCAATTGCTCCATAAAAGCAACAATGGAAATGCTTAACGGTTTTCTGTGAAGCCGAGGTATCACTCATCCGGTGTTAAGCATTCTTTGGTTGCATATCACCGAGTGAGTGAGTGAACCTCTATAATTAGGGGGGGAGTCAAAGGCAGGCCACGGACTTGTGTGCCTTGAAACGCAGGTGTCCATGGGTGGTGCCTTCTAAAAATTATATGACAAACAACGTGTTAAGCAGTTCTTTCGGTGCTTTTCATCAAGTGAGTGAAGTTACCTGAGCCTCACATCCCCCCCCCCCCCCTTTACCATAAAAAAATTACATTATTTATAATATTAGTCAAACTACAATATCGAGTAGGAACGCTCCTTTCAAAAAATCCTTAGCACTGTAATATAAAGATATGTTTGCACATATTTATTATACCCTTAGAGCACGTGGCACAGCGGCTGTCAAGACCAATTTAGATGCGAATTGATCGCCTACATAAATTCATGTCGGTTTTATTCACTTCGCCGCTGCTTGTACTAAAAATACAACACCCTAATTACAAGCTTGAGCTTCTGTTAAGTTTTTATTATGTAACTTTAAGTTGTGTTTAATTGAGTAATAAAACACGAGAAGCGTTATTGAGCACAGGTCTAAATTCCTGTTTTAACTTTATTAGCAGTTATTACCCGACTGCCAAGGTCTTCCAAATAACAGGGTTAAGGTATTCTTTTTTCTATCTCAAAAACCCACGTGTCTTTAGATAACTTTTTGAAAGTAAATAGGCAAACAACATTGCGGATTTTTGGCGTAAAATATTAAAACGTTAATAGAAAAAAAATACTAAACTTATCGAGTAGGGTATTAAAATCAAGAACATTAAAAGGATATAATAAATATATTAATATAAATACACATACAAAAATATATTTAAATTTAATAAGGAATAATAAATTGGTTTAAAAAGTTTTCGATAGCGTAAAAATCGGCTACGTTTGTGCCGACCTCATGTTGTTTCGGTCTTTTTAGTGCATTACTTTTAAATTAGTTTAAAACAATGTTAGGCTTACTCAATACAATTTATTTTATTATTTAAAGATTTTTTATCATTATTTTACAATAAACAAAAACAATGTTTTTTTATGCAGTTACTAGCGGGAAACAATTGATTACCGTCGAAACTTGACTCGCTTTACTTATGTCTAGTCCTGCTTTCTTGAAACAGTACAGCACAGTATCAATTAGAATACCTACCTAGATCGTTCAGACTGGTAAGAAATAGTTACGATAGAAGTTTCTCTTACTTGGGATATGTTTTCCGAAACGAAAAAAAACGATAGAAAAACTATCGAAAATATACCACAACAGATAGAACATACATAATCTAAAAGAAAACAAATCCAACATCCACAGATAATATAGATATCTAAAAAGGAAAGTATATTACGGTAACATATAATCAGTTATCGCTATTTTATGCTGAGAGAGGGTAAAATTAGCGAAGAATGTCCAACCTTCCAACAATACATAAACATACATAATATATTTACGCACACTTGTATGTATTACATATGGAAGTACTCGTATAACACAATTAAGTATCTACTTACTGATTTTGATTGTTTTTTTCCATCCCATTCCATTTCTGAGTCAAACAAGGTGACAAATTTAAAGCTTGAAATAAAAACAAAGCACAATATTGAGTGTTCTTTGTTTTTATTTTAACATTAAAAGCTAATTACATAAAAGTAAGCCTTGACGTTATTATTTCATAAAAGATATACCTAACCTACCGTTAAGACATTTTGTAGAGACTGAATTGATTTGACAACCATCTACCCTACGTTTATTTTCCTTTGTATAGAATTGAGTGAAGGCATTATGATCCGTCAAACATTACACAAAATATTTCATTTCATAAATAGAATCTGATTCGTAAGCGCCATTGTTTCATAAAAAATCAAAAAGGTATTGAAATAAAATTATTTACTGATATCGGGATTAGCTTCTTAAAAGCAACTTGATGAAATTGGGATCAGATCAATAATGATAAACCAATGATCCCCTATCTGTTGACACTTGTCGATCAAACATGTAGGTATCTATGTATAATTCAGTACACCCACGTTGTTAGAAGGGCTTCAAATGACGGTCGTTCACCTTTGTCATGCCTTTTAACGCTACATTTATTCGTATATCGTTGATTCCTTCTCTCGTTACTATTTTCGTCGAGAAAGTATAAGTGCTTATTAAAACCACCGTAAAAACCACTCGACCAAGAGACCCGTCGCCCCGTCATTTGGTTTAATAAGTAAAAAATAAAATAAAAATCTAATCTATCTCAAAAATCTACAAAATATATAATTTTAACTGGGGGTAAAATCGAAACCAGTTTGCAACCACTTCATTTACTTTGTGAACTGTATTAGGAGGGTCACTTTTGGTTGTATTGCTTCCTTCACCTCTAAAGTTACCGTCAAAGTTATAAACGTTGATAACGCTGTACTTAATTGGAAAACTTGATCGCAGCTGGCTATTAGACCAATATAACTTGTACAATTTTTTTTTAAGGAAGAAAACTAATCTGCAGTTTAATGTAAAGTCTACAGATATAAAAATATTTCAATCCAAGTCTGTTGTGAAAGTCTGATTGAGTAACAAACATTGTCAATTCAATGGGTAAAATCACCTTCAGTTGTTTACTAAATTTTCTTGTTCGAATTTATTTGTTACCGTTCAGTTCTTCTACAAACTTTATTTGGACTACTAAAAACAATTTTCATTAGTAATTTGTTTATCAATGAGCTTGGTTTATTTTCATGTCTATAGATTTCAGGTTGTAATGAAACAATCTTGTTTTCATAAAAAACCGTTTCGTTTACCACATTAACTTTAGAAACAATATTCATGTAACGCAAAAAATCAACAATGAATTGTTAGCTTATTTTTGTAGCGAGGCGTTTAATGCGACGTTCCAAGTTTTCGTCTTGCTATTATAATAATTGTCTTTCTTTTTTCTCTTATACTGTTAAGGCTATAATGTGTGAGCCAGAAAGGTTTGCTAATAATTAAATTAGAACTCACGTTTCACGTTTTAGGTCGATCATTTAATTACATACAGTGCGGGATTCTCGATCACTGATTACGCATAATTATGTCGCACATGTTCTGATTATTCTACTTACTTCTACTTATATATGTTAAACTCCAGACATTGTTATTGTAATATGAGTGGTTACGTATAGCAATAAATTTACAAAGATTGGATTCAATTAAAAGCCTTCATATGATTTCATTAATAACCTCGATGAAGACGTGCGTAACTAAAATATGTTATGATTTAATACAAGAAAAGTAGATAAATGTTCATGTTATAAAATAAATGTAAAATTCAAGTAACAAAAACGCAATTAATAGTAATTGAGAGTAATTGTCTAATAAGCAAATTAATGGAAAGGTATAAGATGTGAACTGATGATTCATCGGTGAAGGTATGGACTGTGAAAAAATTTTTTTTTTGTTTAGACAATCAGGTTTATGTAAAAAGTATATGACGAATTTTATTTGCGTTCACAGTTTGATAGAACCTTTTTTAGAAGTTTACTTTTTCAGGCAAGAACTTATAAGTCTGCTTCTGTAGAAAGGGACAGCCTACACATCGGTTACTTTCTTTTATCACGGTACTCAGCAATGCATTCACCTTTTGAAACATTCTCTTGCAATTTTTCCCCTAATTGCTTCTTGTTTTAGCTCTTTCTCTATTCGTATGTATCAAAAATTGATATTTATGTTTAAGATATATTTTGCCTACATCTACCTTTATGTTTTTAATTATATGTGTGTTATACACACTCCTTTTAATCGTTATTACACATACTTGTCTGATCTTTATGTCAAGAATTATTTACTCTTGGAGATAAGTAGAAATATCTGAAGGGCCGTCAGTACAGGAGCCGTTAAGGCAATATTCTGGATTGTTCCACGTTAGATACAATTAGTAGTAGTGATCTAATCTGAACTGAGATATTGTTTCGTAAGACCCTCTTAATAGATTAAAGTGCTTCTGACACATTGATATTGATGTGTATAGATTGTGTTTGAAAGATGTCTGTTACATAATTGTAAATATTATTAAACGATGGGCGTTGAAATAAAAAGTTATAATAACAATGTTTTTGTATAAATATCCGGTTAAATTTACGTGTGTTACTAGTACTCGTAGGTTTATTGAAAATACTTATCGCTGATTAGAATACACATAAATCCTTTTAAAGGATAATAAAACTTCATTACAAATTACAAACAGATGATTCATGTGATGTGGTGGATTAAGAATATGGAGTACCCCTATTCATCCCGTGCGTGTCGCAAGACCCGACTAACGTAGCAAACTCTGAAGAACTCCAAAAAGATGGAAAACTTAAAACAGAACTTATACCATTTGGCCAGCGTGGTATGGTAGGCCAAAACTTCCTTTCTAAGGAGAGGCCTAAATCCAGCAATGGACTATTAAAGGATGTTGATGATGATGATGATGATGAATACCTACTGAACGTGTCTTTGACTGACTGGCTAAATTACTGCCTAACGAAATACATAACAAAATTCGCTATTGTAGGCTAACCATCTATTTTTCTGACTTCCAGATTTACGCGGACGAGGACATAAGCAGCATAGCAGATGGAAAAAGCCCTGTCAAAGATCGAGTGTATGACTCGCTGGAGAAACTTCAGGGACTTACGGTGTTAGAAGACGACAGCCAGGGAGATGATGAGGACATGTTGGATACTGGAGATGACACAGAGAGTGGGGACTGGTACCCTGACTATGACAAGAGAGCAGAACATGTAAGTCGATAATTGATACAAGCTTTTAAGGAAAGGTTATTATTTATTTTATTTTTTTAAAGACAACTCTCGCATTAGGAATATATCCTGTGTCACTGGGAACTTTACAAGCATACATGAAACGGACACAGGGAACACCCAGACTCAGAACAATAATTTCTGAATCACACAAAGTGTAGTCCCATGTGGGGATCGGACGCACAACACTCAGCGTAGTAGTGAGTGGCGTGGCGACCGCTTAAACCGTCAGTCAGTCCGTGCAGTCGGTATATCAGAACATCGGTTATCTTGGTTTTGACCTGCACCAAATTGACTTTGTACGAGACACAGCAGAACAATACTTAATAATTTTTGAAAACTAAAATAAGACTTATTCGAAACTTAGCTAAACACAAGTCTATATTTTAGAATGTGTTGATGTTACATACTTAAAGGACATTTTTAAAGTGATTGAATATAGTTAAAAATAGAACGATGTTAGAAGTTATTTATGCGCGACATTCAAAGGAATTACTCGTAAATGATTCCTAAAAAGTGGAAATGTCGTCGAGAATTATCTATTATAGTCTATTTACGTATACGTACATGGGCGTATCTACAATGGGGCAAGGTGGGCGCTCGTGGCGGCTCGCCACCCTGATTTCCACCCGTTTTTTTTCGAGACGAAAAATTTAAAACATTACAGGAAGTACTGGTTTAGGAGAATATTATTATGAAGACACAACAATTTTGGTGTTTTGTATGGAAGAAGATAGAGCTAAACTAGGGCAAAGGAAATATTTGATGACGCAAAATTCAATTGTAGCCCATTCGTTGATTTTTTTACACTGACTTAGGCAGTAGTAGGTACAGCCTTGCAAAAAGTAAACATAGTTTTATATCGTCCCTTTATACTCAGATACCCTCATCGAACGAGCAGTTGGATGGTTATGTCGGACTCGAACCGACTTAAACCACACGCCGTCTCGGGTATCAGTAGTTGGGAAACCAGGTGTGACCTAGAAAGGAAATCCCTGGTACTCCGATAGTCACCAAGCCATCTACGGCTTACAGAGGTTGCTAAAGCTACGCCTCGGGAAACTGCTTCCTCTTCCAGAGCCCTCACGCGCAGGATCACATCCACCGTGGAGAACCCCCGACGGCAACTGTACTGGTTGTCTGCCTGATCCGGCCCCACTATGACGAGATGCTTGAAGAGGCCCAACGCCTCTTTCAAAGAGTTTGAAGACCTCGTCAAGTGACACTATGGGCCGGTAGGCGGATGGTGAGTCTGTCGGTCACCCCTGACAGCCAGTTCCCCGTCTACCACAATTGTTGTCATAATTACCAAGTAATCTATTTTTGGATATGTAGGAATGTGTTAAATCCCGGTGCAACACCAATATCAAACTCCAGAAATTTATTAAATTACTTGCAACGTTTTTGGCTGTACAATGATATTATTAAAAGGTACTAAACCAATAACGTGTGGAAGTTTAGGCATAGCAAAATAAAATGAAAAAAGCTCTCTCTGAACTTAAGATAATGACCGAGTTAGAACCAGAATCGAAAGGTAGTTGAGTACTTTATAGAAATAAAGTTAGAAGATTTTTTTTTTATTGAATTACAATAATTTATCTAGTTTTCTTAACTTTGGCCCCCCCCCTATGTAGATGCTGGGTACGCTCATGCGTTTAAACGCTCATAGTGCACAATAGAAATGGATACAATTCATGGTTATTCCGGTTAGTCTCCACGGGTGATTTCGTGGAAACCCTACGGAAATCCACGGTACTTTCACTGGCAGATAGTTTATGTTACGAGGAGTAACTTAGGCTTATTTTCTTTTGGGAAAATAATTAGGGCAAAAATATACACACATTCAAGTGAAAGAAAAGCTATTATTAAATCCATACTAATATTATAAATGCGAAAATGTGTCTGTCTGTCCTCTTCACGATTAAACTGCTCAACTGATTTAGACGAAATTAGGTATACAGATAGTTTGAGTTCCAAGAAAAGACATAGGATAGTTTTAACCCCTGAAATCATCCTTTAAGGGGGTGAAAAGGAAAAGTTTGGAAGTTTGTATGGGGAATCAATAACTGCTGACCGATAGTTTGATATAGGATGACCGCGGGCAAAAGCTAGTTAGTTCATAAATTACAAAATAACCACCTTTAGTATTAGTGAATGTCTGAAATATCAGCTCCCTGTATCGATATTATCAAATATTCCCCACTTTAGTTTATCGACCTTAGTCGACTTTATCGAGTTTAGTTTATCGATAATTTAAAGCCTTATGGGTAAAAAAAACGTTATTGTTTCTATCTAGTTTCTATCTCAGTAAATAGATCAGATTCAATTTCAGTTATGTGATTAATTGACAGGTCTATTATTACTTACCTTTAATACTACAATTGAGAATTCTTCTCATAGAGGTTTCCATGGTCAAATTAACAAAGACCTGATCCTCTTCTATAGAAAATATTTTTTTTTTTGTTTTATTAAAAATTCTTTGTAATTTGTTACTAATTTCGTTCTGTGAATTCCAATTACGGAATTTTCGCTGTAAACGTCCTTTCTTAAAATTATTCATAATGTTTATAAAATTATTCAGTTCAGGACTTGCCTATAGGAAATAATAATGGTAGTAATAATAACTTGACATGGCGTTGTGCTTTAAGCGGTCACCTCGCAACTTCCTACTGCGCTGAGTGTCGTGGGTTCGATCCCCACATGGGACAATACTTTGTGTGTTTCAGAAATTGTTATTCTGAGTCTGGGTTTCCTTTATGTCCGTTTCATGAATTTTGTAAAGTCCCCCGCGATACAGGATATATTCATTAAAAAACTAGTTACATGTACAATATGTACTATTCAATTATAGGTACCTAATGCATTCAACCATATAATGTCTACACACTTACCCTGCCTTCCAAACTAGGGTATCCTGTAACTTAGAAGACAGGGTTCAGTTACATATATATACATACATATATACCTCTTTCACGTTTTTTCATTATACCCTTCACATTATTCACATATATGGTGTGTGAGTGTATCTTTATGTATGTATGTGCAAGGGATCTGTGTAGGTATGTATTTTATATGATTTGAGTAAGAGGAAAAAAATCTCTTTTACTTAACAAGCAAGTAGTCGTGAATTGTATGTAAAATATGACATCTTCTCTTGATACGGGCTTATTTCTCAAATCAAATAGTGCGTTTTCTCGACTTCTTTCCAAAATTATCTAATAACCACAATTACACTTCCATCCAATTTCACGACATCTATGGGAGTTGCATTAAAGCTCGAAAATTCCAAAAAAATAATTATAAATGACAGATAAAACTATTTTCTGTCAAACCTGAACCATGTACATTATAAAAGATTATAAATAGTAAATAAAATTGAACAAGAGAACAGAGAACCAAAGTCATCGACATAGTCCATCGCATTAGCAAGCTGAAGTGGCAGTGAGCTGGCCATATTAGCCGCAGAACCGACAACCGTTAGGGAAAACGAGTTCTTGAGTGGAGACCGCGTCTAGGCAAACGTAGTGTAGGACGCCAACAGGGCAGGTGGAGTAACGATCTGCGCAAGATGGCTGGCAGGAACTAGAAGCGAGAAGCTGAAAATCGATTCAAGTGGCGTGCAATCTGAGAGGCCTATGTCCAGTAGTGGACTGCGATAGGCTGATGAAAATGATGAATTAAAATAAGTTGTATATATTAAATAATAAATTTTGTAAATCGTTATGTAGTAGCAATAATTGTTTTGTCTGTATGGTGTCGGATTAAGAATACGGAGTGTCACCATCCCTATTCATCCCGTGCGTGTCGTAAGAGCCGAACAAGGTAAGCAAGCTACGCAGGACAACAATACTGCATAAAGAAGGGCAACTTGACACAAACCCTTTTTTTTTTTAACGTGTGGAAATCCCCTCGGACCGTCACCCCACCGGGGTTTGTGACCCCGCCGGTGGGGTGGTGTGTCGGACACGGACCGACTAAAACCACACGGTGTGCCACTCTGCGCCTGTCATAGGAGGGATCCGGGAACAGCTGTTATTAAGACATCCGGTACTTGACACAAACCCTATACCAACCCGTCTGGCCAGCTTGATACTTGTAACTACAAGTTTGTAAGAAGAGTGTATAGATCAAGCAAGAAGAAGGCGCGAGACTTGCATTAACTATTTCATCACCTACCGTAACCACTAGTTTCTTTTTTGCTTCGTCGCCATCTTACAGCTACCGTCCCTTTTTTTTCCGTGCGGAAATCCCCTCGGATACCACCAACCGACTAAAACCGCACGCCGTCTCGGGTACTAATAGCCGGAGAACCAGGTATACCCTAGAAAGGAAGTCCCTGGTGTCCCGACATACCTCGGGCCATCTACAGACAAGTAGACGACCACCCCCGTGTGGGAACCCCATGTTCCCTCTGCTCCCTGGAAGCGAGCGCGCTTCGCAACGCGCTCGCTGCCACCCCCGGCCTGCTTCTGCTAGGGTAACAGATGGCCTCACCTGTCACCCCCAGGCCTGCGCTTATGGAGGACGGAGGTCGTTCCGCGACCTCCGGCGCCTGAGTCGCCGGCGGTACCTGGCCCGTTCCCGGGCCTGGCGGGCCGGGAGAGTTCTAAACCTCTCCCGGTCCCGCTCCGCCGTCTCCTTCGCGAGCATAACTTGCTCACAGAAGGAGACGGCAGAGTTCCACGCACTCTCGCTCCGCACGATAGCCGCAATCAGGCTATCGAGCGAGAGAACTCCCACTCCACAGCTACCGTCCCTATTCTCAACCGATCAAGAACATATTCTTTTTTTCTAAATTCATTAAATGAAAACTGTTGAATAACAGATCAACTTTCAAAGTTACCGCATAATGGTATATCTATAATCTATGATAAAAACCTACTTGTTAAAACTCATACAATGGAGCCCGAATTTCTCAAATTCTCTATTGTAAAGCAAAACTAAATCTGAAGTTTCCAAGACGAAATATTCGTAAATAAGCTCTAAAGCTCAAAGCTTTGAAGTCTTCCTTTTATCAGTGGTAATGAATATGAAAATCAATAAGGATTAAAACCGACTCCCTCATTAAGGCCGACGTACATGGCTTTTGACTGTGCAAAATGTCTTATAATCACTTCGATAGATGCAACTATAAGTATTTTACAGGTTAACTGAAATAGCCTCTGTACGTAAGAATTACCGTTTTTCTAGTTATTTCCAAGACAATACCCATGAATGACTCCTATTTGACAGATGTTTGTGTGATATTGAGAGTTGAGGTCTTGGAGTGTGCCTGTTCTTTTTGTTAACTATTTCTCGTAAATATGTGACTACAAAAAAATATAGGAGAGGCTGGTGGCTAAGTGGTAACCGTGTAGGTTAACACATCGAAAAGTTAAGCAATCCTATCCAGGTCAGTCTGTGAACCATTCTTAACACATTGAAACTCCTCCATACCTCGAATAACACATTAAGCTGTTAGCCCTGTTTACCATACAAACATCTATGCCAATCGTTACGGATAATTGGAGGAATCTTTCTACAGAACTTCGATATCGCCTAGCACTTGTTTTGTAGAGGTCTGATGGCAGTCACTCAGCGTAAAAACTCGAAGTTCAGCCGGAGATTTAAACCGAACCCCAACCTAGTTTGGGAAAAAGGCTCGGAGGAAGAAGTATGACTACAAAGAAATGAACGTTAATCTATGTGATAGTAAGAATCTTTTAATTGATTTAACCTTCTATCTTTTCATCACACATCCATCAATCTCCCGACTAGACAGGCTACACTGCCTGAGATGATGATTAAAATGAAGGTGTAACAAGATGTTTACCGTGGGAGAGTCATGCTTCGGCACGAATGAGCCAGCTCGACCGGCGTGATACCACGGCCTCACAGAAAACCGGTGTTAAGCAATTTTTTCGTTGCCTTGACCTGCTGACTCGAGCGAGAGGGATGCAAAGGGCGGCAACGCACTTGTGACTTTTGAGACGTTTTGTGTCCATGGGCGGCGGTAGTTGCTTATCACCAGGTGACCCGTCTGCTCGTTTGCCCCCTTATACCATATAAAAAAAAGCAAGTAGTGTTTCTCTTTTCTCTTTACCTTATACTTATTTTTTGTACAGTTTGCCGATGAACAGATAAATCTATATGCTGTTTTTAGCACATATCGGGTCATATCGTAGTTTAATATAATCTGAACCAGCATGATTTAAATTATATGAGGAAGATGGAAGATGTGTGTATCCAACATACCTCTTGAGATATTGTGTACAGATTTCTGCAACTGATCATATTATCCATTGTAATACCTATTGTATTTATATGTAATTAGTAATTTTCTATAAATAAAGAAATTTTATCATTATTATCATTAAGACTACTTACTTAGTCTGAAAATATAAAACATTGTTTGATTCAATTCAGTGATGCCCCAAACAATAAAACGCTTCTAGTTCATGTATTGTCAGCCTAATTGACAATTGCCGCAGGTCTGCCATAGCATTAAACCAGGATTATTAATTTACCCAGCGCTTACTAGAGCATTATAAGTAAATCCATATCAAAGATGGAGGCTACGTATTTGCTCTGTAAAATAGATCCAATTTCATAATTTAATCAAGAATTATTACGAACATTCTACTGTCAGTTTTAGTATATGAATAAAACCTTAATTAAATACTTAAGTAAGTTTCTCGTGAGTAACAAAAATAAACTGAAAAATAAAAAAATCTGGTTCCTTTTTCTACAACCAATTTATCCAACAAGGTCGCCTGATGTGAAACAGTACTATTGCCTTACGGGCGTACACAGCACTAATGGTATCTTGTAAATATACGTCACGCTACGTACAGTTCTTTCTAGAAAACCTAACGATCGTATTGACCTGGATTGATAAGTACATGGGTCCAATATTAAGTTATTAATAGTAAACTGATTCTGTTGGGTGGCTGAGCTTCTAGTTAATAGGCGTTTATTCAATTGTCACAACCAATAAATTTGAGTTGCAATTGCCGACATCTTTTGATTATAAACTAGCAAAACACATCCTTAACTTTGTTATTATTGGGTTACAAAGTCACCTCGGAATGATATTGGCTGATTATAATTTTCCTTCAGCTGACCTTGAGACGAAGGAATGTTACCTCAGCCACATATATGTCTGACTTCAATTGTTTTGAAAGCGATCACACATAATCCAACCCGATAGCTGGAGGGTGTTGATGAACGTACATCAAGAATAACAAAACACTTGAAATGAGCCCATCCAGACTTTCGATCAATCAATAAAACGAATTTTAAATTATTACAAACGCTTTTTTGATAATGTATAGTAAAGTTTATATGTAAAAGTATAGTAGAACTGTCAGGACGCTATGTTTTGGATCGGGAATAACGTCACTGAATACAATTGGTTTTCTCTCTCTTCTTCAATAAGTTTTCATGTAAACTAATTAACACAAACTAAAGTTCCTTTTGGTCCATTTCTATTTGAGTATTACCATGTTCTATAAATAACTATTACCTACTGCTATAAAATTCTATTAAGTACAGTTTCTTTGACATACTATATCTTTTACATATAATAGGTTTTTTCGTGACTGCTTCACATACAATTTGAGTTTTTCGACTAGAACAGAAATAAAAATGAAATCCAGTCCAAGAAAATATATGAGCATGTATATATGTACTGTACATATATATGTGTATGTATACTTACATGTGCTTTATGACCGTAACACGGTCATAAAACACATGTACGAAACTTCGAGTTCTTGTTTATTCGGTTTCAAATGCAATATGATTTATTTGCAATTTTGTCAGTACTACTGTCATCGATGGCACTTAGTTTCAAGAATCCTTCCACAAACAGTTAGTGTTTTAGTTAGTTAGTTACAAAGTATTTTCTTCATGTATTAAAGCATAATTATATTTAGAAATAGATGCAAAGAACAACAACAACAACAACTACATCTAAAACTTTTTTTATAATTCGAGTCCATTCAATAATAAAGTTTAGTTTTACAACAGAAAAATTTGTCTGTTTGCTTAACAAATTGCCTTCTCACCAGATCGGTACAACCAACATGGTGCACCTACAGCCGGAGGACTTTGTGGACACCGACCTCACATTCCGGACTGACGGAGACAAGGACATGCTGTCTAACATCAGGGAAATCAAGAGGCGTCTCAACGAAAACCCAGAGGATCCTGACCTTGAATTAAGTATAAAGACTGGTGAGTTTTCCTTTCCTTAAAGAAACATTAAGTTTTTTTTTTTAATTGCACTTTTTTTTTACTTTTCTGCACTTTTCCTTTATGTAAAGAATAATTGGGCGATTACTTCAGAGTACTCACATGTCTTTAACATTATAATCAAAAGCACGTCCTGGGTTTCTAATCTAAAGTACCGCCAATGTCTTATAAATTGTCGTATGTATGGTACGAGTGAAGTGACTCATCGGTTCCTTGCCTCGTATACACAAAAAAAACTCAAGGAATACGAGGTTGATAACACTAGGAATGAACTATTACCCAAGCTAAATAATGTATGTAGATGTAATTTATCTTTTTACACGTCTGGAAACGAAGCTTTTTTCGTTTAACGAACCCCGGGTTGTTCCTGAAAATTGTCTGATAGAAAAGCTCATAAAAACATTTAGGTCGAGCTTGTTAAAAGTACCTGCCTTACATCATATGAATATATGTTTTATTATTATTATATTATTTACTTTATTGCCTATTATAATATAATGTCCTGTTATAATATGACTCGCTGAGCTATGGTCACAATATCGTCACGCGCAAAAATCACAACCACACTAGCAGAAAATCTAGTTTAAATTTTTGTGTACATAATTTTTTTCGCATTATCTTCTAAGAGAAATATATTATGTCTTCCTCGTAAATTAAGTGGTTGGACTGAAACGATGTTTTTGGCTAGAGGGTGACGTAGCGAAGTAGGGGGTTTTTGAGGGATGTAACTCACAACGAAGTAAACTTACCGTATACTGGGTCTACCAATAGGGATGACCTGGTTTTGACAGCTCATAGCGGCCATGTTTGATGATGGATCTTTGACGTCTCTTGACATTTGTGTTCAGTAAGGTTTGCCATTTTATCATGTCACGTTTCACTTTAAACCAACGCTTGGAAATTGTCCGAAATTATTACGCAAATTCGCGTTCTCCTACCGCTACAGGAAGAGCGCTTCGCGCAAAAAGCGGTCGTCATAGTGCTCCTTCTGTGCGCACTATAAATCGCATAATAACAAAATTTGAAAGTGAATTCACTCTCTACGATACTGCTGTGCCTGTGAGACAAAGAAATGCCCGTAGTGAAGGGAATATCGCAGCCGTTCAGGCCAGTGTTGATGCGAATTCAAGTCGATCAGTTCAACGCCGTTCACAAGAGTTGGGGCTCTCTCCAATGACCACCTGGCGTATTTTGCGGTTGGATTTGGGCCTACACCCATACAAAAAAAATTTTTCACAAGAATTGAAGCCATCCGACCATTGTATCCGTCGTGAATTTGCCGATTATGCACTGGAAATGATGGAAGCCGGTGACGATTTTTATCGTAAAATCATCTTCTCAGATGAGGCCCATTTCTGGCTCAATGGATTTGTTAATAAACAAAATTGTCGCTATTGGAGTGAGTCAAATCCACGTGTGGTTCATGAATTACCATTATTCATGAAGTAGTAAACTTATAATGGTGTTTATCTACTATTCACATAACTGTTATAGAGACTAATAATTGCCTGGAAATAACTAGCATATATTATAAAACATACGTCAGTAGATGTCATAATATCGCGTATCACCATAAGCAGAAGCGATATCGACCTACAAGAAGAAGACAAGAAAGTTTGTGTCTCTCGAGTGGCAGATGTCGATGGGCGTCGGTAGTCACTTCCCATCAGGTAACCCGTCCGCTGAATTGCCCTCTATACGGTAAAAAACGATGAAAAGAGACGGAACGGTCTGTTTGATGGTTAATCTAGCTCTACCCTGCCACGCTTCGATGTGGCACAATATGCTTGCCAAAAATAGATAAAAACCATCTTGAAGCGTTATGTATATCGAGTAAAAAATTGAGTCCAATCGGTGCAATTATTTATGAGTTTTTGAAGCGTTCACAAACTAACTCATCATTTATATATATATATGGACATATACCATCTCTACAGATAAAATTAAAAGTCTTTTTATATTAAAACCATTAAAATTAACGTCAAAACATTACTAAGAAAAATTATGGCAAAGTAAAAAGTTAAACAGTTTGAGATTTTCCTCTGTACACGATTTGAAACCCACTGAAAGGAAACCACTCAAGTTGATAAGATACACTCGTTCCCCGAGGACACGCTAAGGAAGGATCGCTTAAAGTTTTAATCTTATGGTAGAAATATTCCCTTCTATTAAATCTGCAATTCAATATGCTACACTACTGAATACCGTAAAACTTTTATAAAACAATCATTATCTATGATTTTCTCTTTAGTTTGCGGGAGAATCATGCAGGACCACCAAAACTGCAGTGTAAAAAAGGATCATAAACAAAAAAATAATTTAAAAAAGAAAAGGAACGTGAAATTTGGAGTATTTGAAGTATAAATGTAAATAAAAAAAAAATATAAACAATACATAACATACTCACGAGAGGTGTCTTAAGCGCCTATATTTTGTCATTACTTAAAATTTTAGTCCGGCTTACGTAACAAAGACCGTTCGACCGTTCGACCGTATCACGGTTAACCGGACACTTTACGGATTAGATGGAAAGATTAGGACTATATTGAAAGGAAAGATAGATTAAAAGGGATGATAAGGTATATTTCTTATATCGGATGGAAACATAAGCCATATCTCGAACAGATTAGTGTCACAGACTCGAATTGGTACTGCCAGACAGTCATATCCCTCAAATCAATATCATCATCATCAACAGCCGTTATTAGCCCATCGCTGGACATTGGCCTCTCTTTAGAAAGGAGGTTTTGGTCTACTAAACAGCGCTGGCCAGACGGTTTCTCTTTGCAGTGCTGTTAGTTTGCTCCCTTAGTCGGCTATTACAACATCCATGGGATGAATAGGGGTGGTGACACTCTGTATTCGTAATCCGTCACCACAACGATAATACAAATTTCATAAAAACAGTTTTACGTATCCATATAATAATATTTACGATATATTTATGACTTATGAGTTATCATGGTACGGTTAGAATGACAGTTCAAGTTTAGCTGGCAAATCATATTAAACGATACAATAAAAAAGGTTTAAAGGTTCGGTATGTTTTATTTATGCAAGGTATTGCATTAATAGTGGATTGGAAATCTCAGAGCTCCGTTAATGAAAATTGCAACTCTGAAAAGCGTCTGACTTTATAGTCAGGACGGCTTCGACGTCTTCGTCGAGGAGAGGTTATTCTCTCCGCTAAGTTATTAAACTGTAATCTGATTAATGTAACTGATTCTTACGACAACAAATTTGTAGATTAGCGATAATTTCGCTAAAATACTTTGTTGTCGTATCAAAATATGTAATTTAATTATTGTTGATTTATTACTTCTGTCTAATTTCTTCTAGTAAACAACTTTCAAGGTAGTCAGCTGTTATTAATAAACGTAGTAATAACAGCTCATTGTTTCAAAGCATTTTCACATCAATAACAGACTATGTGATTTGAATGAAACGAGTTGAATGAGTTGTAAGAGTTGAATGAAACGAGAAACGAGTGAATAACAAAATAGTAGTCACTATTTTGTTATTCACTCGTTTCTAATTATTTCTGTCCAAAAATAATTATTTTAACTATTTCAATTTTATCCAACCAGAAAATTTATTCAATGAAAAAGCTACATTTATGGAAAATACTAGACGCCATGTTGCTTTTACATAGTTTTTTGTTTATGGTATAAGGGCAGACGGGTCACCTGATGGTAAGCAACTACCGCCGCCCATGGACACCGCAACTCAAAAGTCACAAGTGCGTTGCCGCCCTTGGAGTCCCTCCCGCTCGAGTCAGCGGAGTCGAGTTGTTAACGGTTCGTTGATTTTACCCGATGACGTAATGACATCATGGCGGCTTGCATTTCACATAGTAGAACTGATGGAAAAAGAGAAAAGTTTTGTTGAGAGTACCTAATCTTTTACGACTTCTTAAATTATCTTCTAAATGTTTACTTTATTTTGTTTCAGACACAAAGCCCTATGATCCTCACAAGCAAGTTATCGTGCCAGTGGAGAGTATCCGTGACAAGCGCAGCGTCTTCCCTCACGACTCAGATGCAGATGCTGTCGATGACTTCGCAGCCCCTAGCGTAATTGCGAAGACTGATAACAGGTAAAATGATTTTTTGATACGAAGCCAAATACCGCCATACGAATTAGCCGACGGTCACGTTTAGGTATACGAACAAAAGTTCTAATACAGTGGGTTTGGGTCACTTATGTATTATAAATATAAACTATCTCCTTTCTCCTCCCATAAACTTCTCCGCAGTGGCATCCTCTTTAATGTTCACTGCTTGACGCCTAAGTAACTACGCTAATTGTATAATAAGGATAAGGATTTTGCTATCAAATCATTAACAGCCACTCAGGAGGTTTTGGCTTATTATTATTGGTCAGACGTGCTGGTATAGGGTTTGTTTCAAGTTTTCCTTTTCTTTGCAGTGCTGTTGTTATGCGTATTCTTAGTCCGTCACCAAAAAAAGATTTTTTTATAACCCACGAGTAGTTCCAGAAATCAGGACATCCAAAAGACTTCAGATTTATGGTGTTATGAGTCTAATAAGTATGCATTTTATTATTCCGTTATCTCTTGGTAAAGCTACATCACCATGTAAAAGCTGAAGATCTAGTTCCAAAGGTAATACCGACCACAAATTCCTGAGAAGATATAAATATAAATTGCATATAAGATGGCGCGAAGCAATCAGGAATGCGACCGCAGATTTCTCCGGTTTCATCACGCCAACCTCATGACGAATGTTTATGCCTTCATAATGTTTATTGCAATTTTTATTACGGCATTTTTGCGTCACGGGAATTAGATACTAAATGTGTTTACCACGAAGGAATATTTGGTGAAATGTTATTTTCTCGTAAATACTGATTCTGTTGACATTAAACCTTTGTGATTAGGTCGGTATAATAACAATGTCATGAAGTATACATTACTTATTCATTTTTTGTACCATCAACGTTTTAAATGATAATAGTATTTTGACAGTTAGCGGTTATCGGTGCCTGGTAAAACTCAAAACACTATCATTGTTACTCACCGTCACTCACGGGTTACCGATCCTATCAGGTTAATGAAGTGCAATAAAATTAACGTAGCCTTTATATACAATATCCAAATGTAAAATGTATACCATTTCTTAAGAACGTAACTTGCTCAAATTCTAAATAATATAATTAAAATCCATCGCAATCCGCAGCAATCCACTGAAAGCAGCCATAGACTTAAAACTTGGAAAATCGGTTTTCATCAGTCTAGACCCTTAGTTGGTTACTAACTCCTTTTCCTCGTAACTAATATTGTTTATACCTCCCCATCCGATTTTAATCCATTAAATAACCAACCTCATGCCTCGAATGATACCCACGGGGCGTACTGTTGCTTATATTACTGGTTGCTAAAAGTAGTAAAATAGTGGCTACACAGTAATTACTTTTTATTACCCGTATTCTGGATTCGCAATATAAATATGTAAATATTAGCCCTACGAAGAGAGCAATAAAGATTTAATTTGAAACTATATTTAATGTTTGATGTGAATTCTGATCAGACTGTACCACCAAAAGACTACCAATGTTAAACTATGCATAAGTTTTAAAATATGAATCTAAATAAACAATCAATCATTTAAATGCAAGAATTCTTCGTATTTCGATATTATGTCGTCATTCGCCCAGATTAGCTGATGTGATTCTAAGAGCAACACCTGCTTGAAATTCACTTACGTAACGTAAAAGTTTGATTGATGTAAAAACATTTCTTGACGTGTTCTCATTGATACAAATTGTATTATGGTTGTACCGACTAGACTGTATCAGAAACCTGTATGAATTATATATATTATGTATATTACTACTGTACATTACTTGTGTACTGTAAATTACTTGTGTAAAGATAAGTTGTTTGGCACAAAGATAAGTAAAGCATTTAGCACATAAGCTATTAGCTTATTATTGATTCCATAACTACATTTAAAGCAAAGGACACATCAGCGGTACTGATTTATTACCCACAATATTATACAAATGTACAAAAAAACAACAATACAAAAAAGCATCCACTAAGTTTTATCTATTTGATAAATTCACACGTGACGCTTAGATATTATTCAGTCTATTTGATATCCTTATTTCACGTTCCAGGTGGGCGAACGTCCGCCAAAAACGTCCCTGTTCCTAAAAGCTACACGTCTGTTACTATAGTAGCTGTAAGAAACAAAGATAAGATTTATTTCGACATTCGTATTCCCTCACGGAATTTAGTAAGTGGCTGTAAAATCGGTGGGTGGCACGGCACGTGACTCCGCTAGTTTGACTATTTTAGAAACTTTGTTTAGTATGTTGACTTTATGCAGAGTATCCCTCAAGGTTTTGTTAATGTGTATATTAAAGTAATCTTTAATATACACATTAACAAAACCTTGAGGGATATCTAATGATATACAAAGTAAAAATTCACTATCCAATGGCTGCCTACGATATCCCTCGATTAGTTAACACTGAGAGCGCTCAGAGCTGCTATATACCGTAGTGTTTACTGCATGCATTGTGTATCCATCATTGCTCCTCTGACTGTAACATCTAATGCCCTCCTCATTAGATGTTTCAGACGCGTCACCACGCATGCGTCGCCACGCTATGTGATAGTATATGTATTACATATATTAGCTACTCTATTATCTAAACTAATAGTATTAAGAGGTAAAGTTTGCGAGTTTGTATGTTCAAGGTAATCTCCGGTACTACTGATCCAATTTTGAAAATTCTTTTATTGTTTGAAAAATATATAATAGTGATATAGATTACTTTTTAATGCAAAAACCGAAATGCACGTGGGTAGATCCACGGCCAAATGGTAATATTCAATATTTCTACAATATAATTTCGATGTTTCATCTGCCAGAGCTTCTGCGGTGGCTCAATTTTTTTAAACATATTTTTAAAGAAGATCTCTTCATCGATTTACTTACTAGTCCTTAGTTAAACTCAACAATCAAAAGTCGTTAAAAACAGTCAGATCAAGTAGCTTAAAACTTTTATCCTTAACATTAATGTCAAACAACATTTCAAATTGTCTGTTTGACCTGTCGTACGAATTGGCCAAAATGATCCCCGGGGCTTTAGTATCCCATCGAGGAGTTTACAACCAATTTGATTCTCGGTCCGACAGTAATATTAAGGCAATTAATGTATGTTTCCGCAGAGAATTAAACATTTGATTTGATTCAAAACCATCGTATCAGGCTTAAATTCAAAAGAAAAAGTCAAAAGACTATAAGTCGAAATTTCGTTGGAGCCTTGAAAAGTGTATTTTTTTATTTAATTTGTATCGTTGCACTTCTTATTGTGAATTTAGTATACACATAAATATAAGCAACATAGTAATTAAATGCTAAAACAAAATAACCATGATTTACGCGATTCATAAATAGTTGTTCAGTCTGTTTTTTTGTATGTACGCTAATTTCCCATATGTTCCTGAATTTAAAAAATTAGAAATCCCTATATATTTCTGGCCTAATTTAAACAAATGTTTTTTGCTTATGTAAAGAAAATGGCTGACATGTTAACTGACTACCGTGGACGTAGAAGAATAGCAGCAGATTTGTTTTGACAGCTAGGATCATACTTGCACCAGAAAACTATTTCTTAATTGAATTTATATGATTTACAGTATACAAGTATCCCCGTTACTGCCGTACCGTAACGCGTTATTTCCTTTTCTGAATATGATAATTTTTTCTTGTCTACAATAAATAATACGAATAAGAAGAATTTTTTGGTATTGACAGCTAAAAATATGGCATGACAGCTTTTGCACGCAGCGTTGCCCCGTAGCGTCAATCAAATTTAGATGTTTTTCGTGAACAGTATTTTGTTCTCGTTGATATTTACCCTATTTCCTTCCTGTAGATCTGAGAACATGTGTGCAAGCTGTTATTGTCATTGAGTACTATCTAGTTACTAAGGCGTGAAAGTGTAACAGACATACACACTAAATTTCGTTTTTGTAATATTAGTGATGATCTATGAATGATGATGATGAATTAAATACGTCAAAAAATGAAAAAACCCAGATCAATAAGACAGCGTTGTATGGAAATGATCTAAGCTACGAACTAATCAAAATTAGAGTACTGATAAATTTATCGAACATAATCTAAATTAATTACCTTCCTAGTGAACCTTCCTTTCTTGCAATGATTACAAATCATTATTAGCTTTTCATACATAACAGTTAATTATGGTTATTTATTTGACTACTTTGTGGATTAAATAGTTCCTGCACAATACAATTCCGAAATAGTATTACGAGAAACAATGTAATAGAATGGATATAAATTTACTTTATTGGCACAAGGGTAGAAAAGTAAGGTTAGTGTCGAGACAATTTACTAGAATTGTTTGCTGAACAAAACAATTTAACAAAAGACGAGAAACAAATTTCTATTTCATTTCATTTTCTATGTATTGTTTAGCTGTAGACTTATTTCTTTATTATATTTTAGTGTTAACTTACAGTGTGTTATAGAATACAAAAATAAACACCGAAAATAATTGTCTACAACTAAGCTCATCACTTAATTAACTATAATTTACATTTAATGCTACCATTTAAAGTGAATAAACACCTGTTGAGTATAGGCGTACACTTTTTAATTACTTTCATAATATTCACAGAAACAAAACGTAAATACGAGAAAGTAAATGGCTGCAAGTAATATCTTACGAAAATGGTAATAAATTAAATTTTAAGAGGGTATACTTAATATTATGTATAAATAAATCATGAAAGATTCCACTGAATTTTATTAAGAAGGCTGACAAAAGAAAACAACAGCAAAAATCTGCGTTAACATCAAGTAAAAGATTGTTGCTAAGACTAACTTTTACAATTTAATTTTCATAGACTTAAAGCGTTTTATTAATTACTAGCTGAACCGCGTAATATCGTCTGCGCCTCTCAAAAGGAATAAATTTTAACCCATTTTTGTAGCATTTTTCATTGGTACTGGGCTCCTTTGGGTAGTAGCGTGATGTTATATAGCCTTCCTTGATAAATGGCCTATCCAACACCAAAGAATTTTACAATTACAAACTTTTAACAAAAAAAAAACAAAGAAAAATAATTCGCCAGCTTTATAATATTAGTATACATATTCTAAGCCAATGGATCATTTATTTTCACGTAACAGGCAAGAATTGCGGTTTTACCACATCACACCTACCCTGTATGAGAACCTTACTCGTATAACATCACACAATGACAAACGTCATAAGTGAAATTCATTACGGTAGCTTGGAGCTACAGTTATAAATATATAGATTAAATATATTTCCAGAGTACATACAAGGGCCGGTTTTATTACTATAATGATTTCTACCAGACAACCTTGGGCTGTGGCAATAAGAAAAATATATAACAAAAATGTAGTTGTTGATGGTACACTATTATATTTGAGATGTAGGCAATGACTTATAATTTAAGGTACGAGTAATATACTACTATACATAACAATATAATATAATAACGTGTAGGTCTTATTCATGGAAGAAAGTAGAGTAAATACAGTGTTGGATTAACCAAATTTTCATGCTGGGATAGTTTATTTTTACCGTACCTATTTTTACGTATTTTTACCGGTAATGCGTTCAATGTCGTCAATAATGTCCGTGTGGTGACGGATTGCGAATACAGAGTGTGTTCACCCTTACTTATCTCGTGGGTGTCGTAGAAGCTGACTAAGGGAGTAAACTACGCAGGGCAACAGCACTGCAAAGAGAAGGCAAACTTGACAGAAGCTCTATACCAAGCCGTCTGGCCAGTGTGTCAAAACCTCCTTTCTAAGGAGAGGTCATGTCCGGCAGATGATGATGAATGCATTCAGTGCAACAATTGTAAATGGACAGCGTTTCAAAAGATCTAAGACGGTTCGTTGTTTTTGCGCAAGCAAGATTTGCCAAAGTTAAGCTCTAAAGTTTGGACTGGCTTTGACTCGTCAAGTCCAATAACAAGTGTAGTTAGTGTTTTTAGACTCTGGTAAAACCTTAGATGAGTTAGATATTTGTTTCCTTTTTTTAGTGTATAAAACGGACAGAGAAATCTACTTAGTATACAAGTTTCGTATAATTAATCAGTACAAACGAGTAGGATGATAAAGTTAAAAAAGCAATTAAAATCATCTGAAACCTTCTAGTTCTTTCCTATAAGGTTTTAATTAAAACCGGTAACAGGCAAGTTCTCGCTAGAGAGTTTAATGAAGGTGAGATAAAGGCATTAATCCTCTGAGGAAAAGTTATACTGTAGTGCACCAAGAAAATAAGAAGGAGGGATGATCATTATTAAGTGCAAAGCGTCTTTAAACCAAATACCGAACACTGATATAAAGATGAAAGTACTGACCATCACAATTTAGAATGTTTTCTTAAATAGTCTTTTGATAAATTAAAATAATTCAGTAGCTTCAAAAAAGGAATTTAAATTCTTTGAAATCTCAAAAGCTCAAGGCGTTACGATGACTCTCTTGATCAAAAGTATATTCGGCACAATAAAACATCATTTATAAATACTAGACAGTTCAATTATTTAGTTTTATCTATTACTAGCCTACTAATACTAACTTTTACAAAACATTTACGTTTTTAATAAGTATTTTTAACTGTAGTGTATTAACTAGTATTAAGGCACTGTAGGCTCTTCTGCAATACAACAGATTTTTTTAATCTCCTGTCCGAAACCGTAGATATCCATTGTTTATTGAATTACAGAATCAAAACGAAAATAATAGTGATCAATTCGACTGAACTAGTTTCAGTCGAATTGACCACTTGTAACTTGCTTATAGCCTCGTGTTCAATTTATTTTCCTTTCCATTGGAAACAGTCCTTATTTCAGTATGAAACTGCTAGTGGAGCCTTATGCTGCTTTTAATTTCTAGTATTACACTAATGTTATAAAGGCGAAAGTTAGTGAGTAAATTTGTATGTTTGTAAATTCGCTTTTTTGGTACTTTGTTTTTACTCAAAGGGCTGGCTACCAATTTTGATAAAATTTTATATGGAAGTAGCTGACACCCACCATTAATACATAGGCTACTTTCTATACCTAAAAAATGTGTTCCCGTGGGATGTACAAGGAATTGAAATATATTTGCTACTCTTTCAAACTCAACTCACCTTTTCACCCACCCACTCACCAAATATAATTACTTAAATTGTTTTTTATAAACTTTTATATTTGTATCATAGGTATTATAGTAACATTATAAGTATATACTGAAGACTCATTTGCAATATTTGACACGCTTAGCTACGCTTTACTTTAGTGGATGACGTTCCTTAGTTCTACATTTAATTGGTGAGTTAAGAGAGAGTTATAGTTTACTAAGCTAGTTCGCAGTTATGAAGCTATAAGTTGTAGGATATGAGGAATAGTTGAGAACTCATAACTTTGATGAATACACACATGGATTCTCTTAACAAATGTTGACCGACGACAGTACAGAAGGATGCCTTTTAAGAAACGTATACGTATTGACACTGAAGACCTATGGTGGTATTATGGTGATAAACACACGGCTTCAAAGTCAGGGTTTTGAAGGGTCCATTCCTGCTCAATAGTACCTATAAGAATATTAAGGTGGATAGGTCTGCATGTTGCTATATACGTATATTATTTATGTTTTAACAAAAGAGTTTTCGTCGTAATATCAAGTCAGGGTATACTTATAAATAAGGTACCTAGGTATGTTATCGGTGTTTAAAATCCCTTAGTACAAATTAGTTATTAGTATTAGTTAATGTGTAGTTATTACATAATATCATTAACTCGCTCATAATCAACATAATTATAAATATTTAATCATTTTATGAGAAGTGTGGAAATTGCGGTAAAGTTGGGAAGACTCTCGTGGGTTTAAGTCGGCTTTACCCTTTTTTTTTCCGTGCGGAAATCCCCTCGGATACCACCTACCGGTGGCATGTCGTACTCGAACCGACTAAAACCGAACGCTGTCTCGGGTACTAATAGCCGGGGAACCAGGTATACTCTAGAAAGGAAGTCCCTGGTGCCCTGACATACCTCGGGCCATCTACAGACGAGTAGACCCCCCCCCCCCGTCCCGTAAGTCGGATTTACCCTATTATATCCAGCCAACATTCTCTCGTAAGTATTCGTTTATTTTCGTCCTTCGTTTTTACTCTTTGGTAAGAGACGGCGTAGGTATGTCGGGGTTGTGACTGTTACGTTATTGTGTGGGTTCCAAGATTGTTGCGTGACGATATTAATCACATAATAATTAGTTTCATATAACTTGTATTAAAATCCTGTAGAATGTTATTAATATAAAATTATGTAACAAATTGAATTTGATTTAAACACATCATTTTTTTTTAAACAAAATAGGTGATGTATGTATTAAAGAGTGTGATAATGTAGCGTTGGTCACTGCGTAGGTATTATTAGGCATGAAATAAAATCACATTCAACTGTGATAAATTAAAAAAAAAAACATTTCATTATTCCTGTGACTCATCTCAATAACACTGCGACTTATTATTATTGTTAGCCAGACAGCCGAAAGGTCTAAAATTGGAAAAATTGCAGGCATTAATCTTTGGCTACAACCAATTCTAAGTAAAGATTTATCACATGTAAAATCACTGTGACCAAAACCAATAATTTCATCAAATGAATATGATTTAAAAGTAGCAACGTCTACATATTTTACTACCTTAAATTGCATAAGCATAGAAATAATTGGATGTACTACTGACGATAGAATATGTAGCATGCTATTATCAGTCATCAATAGTCAATCATCTCAGTTTATTACCTAGGTACCTTAAATCCATATGTTACTAACCTTGTTATTTATTGTTTCAGGCGCAAAACAAAGAAATTCTCTTCGAACGCGGAGTCGTCCCCAGCTAAAATGGCTCTTCACACCGTAACTAGAACTGTCAGGAACAGTGAATATGATGTAAGTAGTGCCTGTTTTGAATTACAAATACCATTAAATCACCCAGATGAATAACTTTAAATCAACAGATTTAAATCAACATTTTAAGTGTATTGATTATTTATTTTTGGCTTGATTTCACAACAAATGAAACACGTGTACGCCTACCGTACCGTTTATATTATGTCAAATTGTACACCCAACTTAAATTAATCTTACTTTGACAACTGATACTTGTAGAAGGTTCCAGCTAATTAAAAATGTGTCCTGAAGTAGTCAACAGGGTAATATACATAAAGAAAAAACATAAGTTAAAAATCAAACCATCATCATTAACCGCATTTAATAGTCCATTGCTGGACATAGGCCTCCTTAGAAAGGAGGTTTTGGCCTACTATACCATGCTGTCCAAACGGGTTGGTACAGTTTCTAAATTAATAAATATAATAATGTACTCATAAAAAATTTCACGTAATCTTTTAAAAATGTTAAGTTGGTTTATGTATGTTTCAAAAACTCAAGAGGTTTTGTATCGATTGAGCTTAAATTTTCTACACGATTATACAACCAGTTTCAAAGATGGTATTTATCTATTTTTCATGTTAGTTTTGCATAAACTTACGATATACATAGATATATTCGATTGACAGCCCATATTCTTACTCCGCTAACTTCAATTATTCATTGATTCTTACGTTGAGCCCTTCACGCTTCAAGGCACCACGTTCTATGCAAATTATATTGATAGACAGGAGAGAGGCAATAAACTTAGAGAATATTTATAATTCAATATTGTGTACTCTAAAAGCATCCTTATTGACAATGAACTGTTTTAGCAAAGGGACTATTTTGGCTTCCAGGAAGGACGGAGACCTTTCATCGCCGCACATTTTCACGGGAACACGTCACACTTGAATACTGAAACACACGAGTATTATAAAGGTAATAATAATGATGTTTTCGGACATCTGACACCCAACGCCATCTAGCTTCAAACTAAGTAGAGCTTGTATTACGAAAACTAGATAGACTGATAGAATACTTAAATACTTTTTTTTTAAATACGACAGCAGACCAGACCGTCCAAACATTTTGTCCGGCCTGGGAATTGAACCCGAGACCACAACAGAAGTCGTATAAGCTACCACTGCACGACCGAGGCATCCATTTATTTAACTAATTACCTCCTTTTTTACTATCATGGCGCATTCGTAAACAGTAATCTTCATTAATTATTAACAATACAGTAAATTTGTAGAAAAATTAACACGAACAAAAAATGTTCTTATGAAAATTGTCAGTCATCGTCAGAAATTATAAATATTTAAATGCCTTAAATTTTCTATAAGCGACGAAAAAATTCAATATTTATGAATTATTATAGAAATATTTTATTTCATTTGTAGGCCATGAATACATATTACGTTACAGATTATAAAAAATAAGATCATTTTTTTGACCGGCGGTCTTTTTTTACCATACAACGTGTGGTTTGAGTCGGTCTCAGTTCGACACAGGGCTTCAAAGATAGTACCGGTAAATCACCCATAGTGATTATCCCATGTAAAAAAATATCAAATAGAACCTTTTCAAAAAGGGATATAATAGTCTTTTATCTAAATCTACATATTGTGTATCTATGTATGTGCCCTATGTGTATAAAACACGTGAGTATCCAAATATTTCTACGTGTATGAAGAATTTTATTTGCAGTGCGTGGGGTTTCTAAGAATAGTATGTATAAGAACAAGTATCTATAGTATATTTATTCGTATTCTTGAACTCGTAGAACAAGCTACAAGTATGTATAGTTTGAGTTTAGTAAGCCTTATGATATCTAGCAGCATACGAATGAAAGAATGTATCACCAAATTAGCATATGTTATCATGAAACAAACCAATTTGCGTTATATCTTTTAGTTTCACAGAGAGATATATCTTTAATTAATGACTCCTTTTACCAAACAGGCAACGGCTTAGTCCGTGTATCTCATGGTGCTCCCCACGACGTATGGTACCCAGCACCGTGGACGTCAGCGTCCCCACACCCTCGTCCCACACTCACCCGCAACGGGCACGTGCATGTGCACCATACAGGCGTTTACCTCGTCTATGTGCAGGTAAGACATAATCAAATATGGCTGACTTTATAATGTTACAAGGCCTCACAGAAAACCAGTGTTAAGCCAGCGTCGCCGTGAGTCTCTCATACAGTGTCTATTACATGAAAAATTACAATTACGATTACCAAATTTAGTTGCGTTATAGGATGATAATAAATGTTCTTTGTTTCAAGTTATTGTTAACGTCACATAAAATATTAAATTGGTAGGACATCAACAATTGATGCAATTTATTTTAACATAAATATTTGCGTAAAAAGATACTAGTATTGCTACGACAACATAACAATATATCTAAACACGCGTAAGCGTGTTCAGCAAAGTTCAAAGTAAAGGAATTGGCGACGCAGCACCCGTGTAATATTACACGAACCATTTTGAGCTACTTCTGACCCCGTCACAACTCGAAAACTATTTAACATATATTTATTTATCACATGACATTCTACCCTCGTTAAAGCTTTAAAAAATATGTTTAAATGATTATATGAAAATTTATTTTTTATCTTTGATAGATCTACTACCTAGATGACCACGACGTGATCTCTTGGGTTCTCTACCGGACAAACCCCGAAATCGAAGGCAGAGAGAAAGTACTTCAATGTGCACAGTCTACGCACTCAAATGGTTCTGAAAAAGCAAACTCTTGCTTCTCTGCCTCTGCTATATTCCTCAAAGCCGGTGATAAGTTGGCAGTCAGGAATACGGGAGGAGACAGGCACTCGTTGATGCAGCCAGAGAAGAGCTTCATTGGTCTTATTAAACTAGCTGACGCCGAGGATCCCAACCAGGAGTTGTAGAATGTACCACAACAAAGTTCCTTTTAAGGAGCTGTAGCTATTTTTAAGTTATAGTTAACAGTAATATGGTCGAGAAGACCTGTTGGTGCAATAGTAAATTCTGGTCTCATTTTGCCATGACAAAGGTTGTGTCAGGAATCGAAAAAGTACTTTTAGGAATGTCAAGTCATATTGATATGTCCTTCACATTCGAGTACAATACTAGCAAGTTCTTTTTTTATGATCCTTTGTTTAGGAACATAAAAATCTCCTTATTTGAATAGTCCTAGTTCTCTTGTGAGTATATTTGCGAGCTTATATTAATAACGTGTAGAAGTTAAATCCTCATCACGGTCGTCAAAAATCACTCTATCCCCGACTTGTACTCTGTTCTCTTTGCGAAATATTAAATGGAAAACTCATGTACATCACTATTCCCTCGTTTGAGCAATCAACACAGCAGCAACAATAAATTAGGTATCATTGGCCCCGATAATCGAAATGATAGTAAAGTGAGAAGAGAAGAATAGTTTAGAAGTTCGACCAGCTTTATTACGTAGGGCTACGATGGATCTATAATTCTATTCGCTATTAATCTAGTGATCAAACATATAGAAAAGTGATAATATTATTATAGTCAAAAAGTGCCATTGTAATGGGTTTTACGAAGTGGATATTTTAAGAACAAGATTATTATTAGTACATCTATGTTTAAAGCTTATCATTAATGGAAGAAAATTCTTAGCTTTTTTTTTAATTAGCAGCATTTAAAGCTGGTGTTGCCAATTTAATTTGTTAGATACTCGTATGTGTTTTTTGGTTAATTAACTTTTTATAGAAACATCGTAAACCCTTTTAAAATGTTTTTGTGTTTTGTTGTTTAAAAATAATTGTGTATTTTACGTACATATTTAAGGAATACATCAATTGTAAGATTTGTTATACCATTGATATTGTAAGTACCTACTAACGTTATAACTTAAAATAATTTATTTGTACGTAAATAGGTATACTTACTTATTTAGTATAGGTATAAAATGCAAGGATGCATTTCCATATTCATGTTTTTAATGCAAAAATAAATCTTATTACTTTTAAAAATAAGTTGAGTTTTATTTAACTCCTCGATTATCAAATTACCATTTTTTTATTGTACCCCATTTTAAAGATTAAAGAAAAAACAAATTTACATTTTTATTGGATTAAAACTGACGTGCATTTGACGTTTGAAGCCGGTGTACCCTAGAAAGGAAATCCCTGGTACCCCGACGTACCTCGGGCCATCTACGGCATGTAGATGACCCCTCCTGTGTGGGAACCTCTATGTCCCCTTTGTGCTCCGGGAGAGGAACGCGTTCTCTCAGCGCCTCTTGTTACCACCCCGGACTGCTTCTGCTAGGGTGACAGATGGCCTCACCTACCACCCCCGGGCCTGGGCTTATGGAGGACGGAGATCGTTTTCTGATCTCCGTATAATATCCTGAGTCGTTTGCGTTACCTGGCCAGTTCCTGGGCCTTTTTTTTTTTTCTTTTTTCACGCGGGGAATGCTTTTCGCACCATACCCTCCGTTGGGGAAACGTAGGGCGTGTGTGGGACTCCCGGAGAACCGGTCTACCCACTAAACCCCGCGGCGGCCTACCTCGGCAGTCGGGAGGAGCTCCAGGAACGCATCGGAGTTCTGGAGTCCTCCCTGCCGTACCTCATGTCTGAGGCACATCCCGGAGTGATCAAAGTCACCCTGGGGCAGGACGACTTTGATCACTCCGCAGGACGCTACCGCGCCTCTCACTGTTCTACAGAGTAAAAGGCGCAACAGCATCCCGCCTTAGACGACAGCCCCCGGCCGCACCGGAGTGTCATCTGTCTCGGGTCGTTTACAGCGGTCACATCGCCCCAAGATGTGGCCGCAGCGACCCTTAGGCGGCGATTGGGGAGTTAGCGACCTCGGAATGCTGCGCGTTCCGCCGCAGCATTCCGGGCTCATGATCCGGCGCGGCCTCCTCACCATTCCGACCGACAGAACGGACTTGGTCATAGACCATCGCGTCCATGTCGGCCAGAATGTCGAAGGGTGGATATCGCGCCAGGACCGTCGCCGCCTCAAACGAGATGGTACGATAACCCCGTACGACCCGTATGGCCATCAACCGCTGTAGGCTTCTGAGTAGGGCCTTGTAGCGGGAGGCACCCGCCAAGTCATTAGACCAGACGGCTGCCCCATAGAGGACCATGGATCGCACGACCCCCAGATAGCTCCACCGACTGTCCAGGATGAGGCCTAAGTACTTCATGTACCGGCCCACCTGGACTTCAGCATCACCATCCCGGAGGCATGAGCTGGGTGGTTCCTGGCGCTTACGAAGGCCATTGAACCATATCGCCTCAGTTTTCTGAGGCGCCACCTTCAGACCCAGCTCATGAATCTTTCCCACGACACAAGCCACCCCATGCTCGGCGAGCCGAAGCACCTCGTCGAACTGTGACCCTCTAGCCAGTATTAAAGTGTCATCAGCATAGCAGACAACACTAAGGCCAGAGGGCAGACTGGTGCGAAGGACCACATCATATGCGAGGTTCCACAACAAAGGGCCTAAAACAGACCCTTGGGGAACCCCGCAATACACCTCTCTCCGATTTTCCACCCCGCCCCGACCGATAAACTTCACTGTCCTATCGCGCAGATAGGCCCCAATGACGGCCCGCAGGTAGAGCGACACCTCATGAAATTCAAGGGCAGCCCTTATCGCTTGCCAGGGGAGGGTGCCGAACGCGTTAACGATATCAAGGCTAACCGCCAAAGCCACCCCTGATCGGACTGCCGACTCCGACATGGAGCGAACGCACCTGATAGCGTCCACTGTCGAACGCCCCCGTCGGAATCCAAACTGGCAGTCCAACAGATCAGGGCCTACTCGCGACAGGTGCCCGGTGATACGATCGGAGATAACCCTCTCAAAGAGTTTCCCCGACTCGTTCAGCAGGCATATCGGTCGGAACGCAGAGGGAGAATCTGCAGTCCTACCTTCCTTTTTCAAGAGCACCAGTCTCGCTTCTTTCCAGCCGAGGGGGAAGACACCGAGGCTAAGACAATCTGTGAAAATCCGCCTCAGTTTGTCCCCCAGTACCGACAGAGCTATCACCAGCGCCCGACCTCTAATACCATCAGGTCCGGGCGCAGTGTTGCGGGAAGCCAGCCGCCGCACGACTCGGTCCAGCTCTCCCTCCGTCACCTCCCACTCGTCGGACCAGAGTTGCCGGTCCGATTGTAACGGAGAGATCAAGGGACTGTCCTGGACCCTTGGGAAGAGCGTGTCTACCACTCTTGCCAGGAACTCCGGGTCCAGGGTTTTCGTCAATGGAGGGACCCATGGTTTTAGCTTGCCCAGTACAATTTTGTACGGGCGCCCCTATGGGTCCCTATCCAGTCCCCCGATGACAGTTCCTGGGCCTGGCGAGTCGGGAGAGTTCTAAACCTCTCCCGGTTTCGCTGCGCCATCTCCTTCGCAAGCATAACTTTCTACTAGCTGGTTTTCTACCTAAATTTGAGTATTAAATACTTGACTTCATAAACAATTCTTCTATTTTGTACCTTCTGATACCTTTTTTTTGTTTTTAATGTTAAAACAAAGGTTTCCGTTCTGCTATTATTATCAAAGAAAATGCTTTACAAACGGCATAAAATAGGCGAAAATGAATTAGAAGTTGTTCGAATAATTTATCAAAGGAAATTTTATAAAAGTTTTCAATATAAAGCGAAAGAAACTTGCTTATATTCTTGGAAATATACAGAATAAACTCGTATAAAAGGTCAACACGAGCTTCTTTTCGAACAACAATCATTTCAAAGATGAGTTAAGCTGTTATTGAAATATATAGATATACATATAATTCCAACTGTCGATTTACAAAAATAAAATACAAGAATGAACTTTGTATCCAGAATGATAGGACTTCAAGTTTGATTTTAATGGAACATAGATTTAAAATATTTTTTTTTGGATTTTAAACGATGACTTCATGTTTTATTCAATAGAGACAGTTGAATAATTCGTTTTGATTTTCCTTTAAAACGGCCCCAGATTAAAATGATGGATAATATCCTAAGCTTAAATTCTCTACACTGAACATTTTAGGTTTGTCTTCGATTCATTTTTTTTTAATTCTGACACAGCGGTTTAGGTATTTGTCTGAATTTTCTCATAAGCTGATATTTCCCTTATGCAGAAACCTTACTAAAAATATTGATGTCATGTAACATTTTACACTGAGATTGGCAGATATAGAAAGCACGCTCAAATTTCAAAATACTTACCGATTTTCATAATTCCGAATGGTTCAAAGTTCCATTCATCCTATTTTTATAATTTAAAATTCTCAATATTCTGCTCAAAATACCGAGTTTAAATAGATCAAATAACAAAAAGTCAGACTTTATGATAATTCAAAACATCATAAATTGGAATTCTTTCTATTTTCTTTCGAATATAATTCAATTTCACAAACTCAAAGACTACAACTTATTAACCACATAACAGCAAACCACAATGCAACGAGAGGACAATCATATAAAGATCATACACATGAAGTTCATGTTTATTATTGATACTATAATAGCACAGCTATTATAGTATCAATAATTTTTTTTTTCCGTGCGGAAATCCCCTCGGAAACCACCTGTCGGTGGCATGTCGGACTCGAACCGACTAAAACCGCACGCCGTCTCGGGTACTAATAGCCGGGGAACCAGGTATACCCTAGAAAGGAAGTCCCTGGAACAATAGCTGTGCCCTGCCACGCCTGCGATTTATTGTGGTTGCATTTGATGGGAAACGAGGAACAAAACTGACGCCAAAAATAGATAAAAACTATCTTTAAAGCGGGTGATATTTCGTGTCAAAATTTGAGCTCAGTCGGTGCAGAACTATTTGAGTGTATATTAAAATATTATATATTTCGCACATCTAACACACAACGCCATCTAGCTTCAATCTAAGCAGAACTTGAACTACGCTACCTACTG